TTTACCATAATTTTTTGTTGTACAATGATTGAGTGAAATTTTATGATTTGGCTTTAAAAGTTATTTTTAAAATTAATTTTTAAAAATATATTTTTATTGATTTTAGAGAGAGAGAAAGAGAGAGGAAGGGTGAGGGAGAGGGAGAGAGAGGGAGAGAGAGAAACATCGATGTGAATGAGAAACATCGATTTCCTGCCTCCTGGGGATCAATCCTGCAACCTGGGCATGTGCCTTGACCAGGAGTTGAACTGGGGACCTTCTGGTGCAAGGGACAATGCTCAACCAACTGAGCCACACCAGCCAGGGCTAAAATTAATTTGAAAATCAGAGTATTACTTGAAAATAATTTATAATGTTAAAGGGCTTATGATAAAAGCCAGTCATTCCTTGTCTGGGCCTCCCCTCCTTTGTTCCACCCCTCAGAGGCGCTCTGGACTAATGGCCAGGATGGCCATGCCTGCCAGCCTTCTCTGTGTAGGCTTTTCCTGGGGCCCCTGCCTCCTACTAACTCCAGTCTGCCCTGGTGCTCTCTTAGCACTGTCTACCTCTCTCCCAGGACTTGTCTTGCTCTCTCCTGGGCTGGATGCTATGATTTCTGACTTTCATAATCTTCCTTGATTTATTTCCTCATTTTGGTTGGTGCACATATCTTGCAGCAGGAGCATATCCTACTGATACTAAGTGTTGGCAAGGATTTGGGGGATCCTTGAACCCTGATGGTGGGAGCATAAACTGGTACCATTATTCTAGAAAGCAATATTTGGTGAAATTCAGAATATACAAACCCTGTCTAGTAATCCCATGTCAGAGAAATCTCCCACAGCTACAAGTTGGTAGTGATTTTCTCTCTCCTCAGTTTCTGAGATACATGCTCTGTGTGTGTCAAAATTTAATTAGTTAATTAATTAGAATAAGTAATACATTGCATGGTTTAAAAGCAGGAAGTCTTTCCACATCTCTCAAAAGTTAACTATTCTTACTAGGCTTTTGTGTATTTTTCAATATTTTAAAAGTTTTAAAGAGATTTTTAATGTAATACAAGTAAATGTAAATGTGTATTCTTTCCTGTTCCTTTTTACACAAATGCTCACATACTGTACCTGCTGTTTTATATCTACATCGTATCATGGGTACCAATTCACATCAGGACAAAGGGTGCCTCATTACAGCCACACAGTGTCTACGGTAGGCTGTGCAGTGATTGACTGAACCAGTTTCCTATCTTTGGGGAGATGGTGACAGCACCTATTTCATGGGCTGGGGCTTGGCACTCATCTCATGATGGAGTATTTGAGTTTAGGGGTGAAATGCAGCTTCCAGTGGAGTCATACCCTGGCTGTGGCTCTTGACTGAGTTATGTGACTTCTGTGCCTTGACGATTGATGGGCATATCAGTGGAGAGTTAGAGACTGGGGAGGGCATTGGTTGGGTGCTGTGGGTGGGGTGCCCCTCCCTCAAGAACCTCATATGAGGCCTGCAACCTGGTGGGGCACAATGACCTGCGGCCTGATGCCTGCCTGAGAAACCTGGGGGACAAGGGCCACACTGGTGCTATCTATCCCTGAGTTGTTAGGGAAAGCCTCTGTGGTGTCCCCGGAACAACTTTGCCCGCATCTTTGAGAATTGCTCTGGGGTTATCTGGGGTCCTGCCCTGGATGGCTGCTGAGCAGAATGGCCAGGCTTTCAAAGAGACATGGGTATGGCTGGGTTCCTGGGATAAGTCACCAGTCACAACAACATGCCCTCCCAGGAAACTGCAGGGCAGGGGAAATGGTGGGATGGTGGGGGTTCTCCAAGGATGTCGCAATGTGGGGCAGGGGCAACAGAAGACCCCCCAGATCATCCATATGAGAACGAATCAGTTCTGAATCCCAGCCAAATATGGCAAACCCCAGTCAGGGAGATCTTCCTGTCCCCTACCCCCACTGTTCCTTTCCTGGAGGGCTCAGAAAAAAAGTGCAAAGCAACAGAGGAGAGACCATAGCCACAGCCCTTTCCTGGCTTCCTGGGCACAGTGGGGCTGCTGACTGTCCTGGAGCCCTGAGGCCCAAGCACCCGCTGCGTGGCTGAGCTGGCAGCTTCAAACCCAGGGATGCTTGTTGGGGTTGTGTCACCTGGCACTGAGCAGGACCTCAGGGGTGTCAATGTTGGCATCACCTGTGTTGCTGACACCTACCTCAAAGGCGTAGGCTCGGCCCCTTGGGACCAGAATGGCAGAAGGACAAAGGGGTCTTTGCAGGGAAGGGCCACAAGTCCCAGATGAGGCTAAGGAACCATCTGTGTGGCTGTGAGCAGGACGCCATCCCTCTCTGGGCTCTGAGGCTGCACCCAGGGAAAGGGCACAGTAATGCCCACCTGGGGGGCTGCTGGGTGGGTCCTCTGAGGGAAGGCCCTCCTCCTGGCTGCACTGGGGTCTGGCACCTAGTGGCTGCTCAGAGGTGGAGAGCAGGCTCAGGGGCCCCTTCATAAACCTGAGACACAAATGCACTCAGCCTGAGTCCCCTAGGCCCCACATCCTCTGCAGGGCTGGTTGTAGGCTGCCTTTTTCGCTCCTGTCCTGCACCCTCCCCCAACTGGGGGTGAGCCCAGGCCTCACCTCACCATCCTCCCCTGACACCCATTCTGTGCTGGGCTACGGAGGGGCTGACAGGCTGGAAAGGGCAGGTGTGGAGGAGGGGCTGCATGTCAGGAATCCTTCCCCAGAGGGAGGAGCTCTGACTAGATCAACAAAGTGGGGAACAACATGCCAGGCAGTGGGAACAGCATGTGCAAGGCCACAGAAGCAGGAAACAGGAAACAGTGTTTTCTTTGCATTGGGGCTGCAGGCCTGAGGGCAGCAGTGCCGGCCACACCCTCTGTTAGCACTGACAAGCTTGACTGGCCTCTCTGGAGTTTAGCTGTGTGCCCTGCACCTCTGTCTCCAGCATCCTTTCCTCGAGCTTCTCGCAGCTGGGAGGAGGCTGCTGCAATCTCCCGCAGAAGGTAGAGATGACAGCTGGGCAGATGCTGCAGGGTGCGTGGCTGTGGGAGACACCTGGGGGCTGGCCTTGGAGAGAGAGCGGGGATCCTGGGCCTGGGTGAGGGATTGTGTGAGGCAGTGGAGGGCACTGTGGCCAGCTGCCCCCAGGCCTCTCGGCCTCACCTTCCATCCCTGAGGCTTGGCACTCTGGGGTTTCATCTCTGGCCCCTGCAATGAGTTACTCAGGGATAAGAAGATGGAGCCAGGTGACCTGCAATGCTTTGGCGCTTGGTCTGGGCTGGGGACCTTCTTCAGAATGTCCTGTCTCCCTGTGGCCGGGATAGGAGACAGCCTCCTCTGGTGGGAACTGGGCCTTGGGCAGGCCTCCCAGAGCTCCAAGGACATCATCCCTAGAGCTACCATCATGTGTCTCCAAGGCCACACACTCCTTCTGTGCCACTTGCTCCCTGCTCCTGAAGGCAGTGCTCAGTGTGACCAGGAGGCAGAGAGTCCCAGCTGAGGTCTGCAGGGGTTCTGTTGAATGTTGCCCCAGGGAAGGCCAGGCACCAAGAGAGCATGTTGGGTGGGGATGAGAGGAAGAGGAGGTGCTCCAGGGATGCCCAGGACTCTTTGGGTTTGACCCAAGGGCCCTTCCCAGGTCCCTCTCAGGAACTGGATGTAGTGTGAGGGAGGGCGAGAGCCTGGGCTCAGCTGAAGTCCAGTCCCTGCTCTCCCACCTGTTCCCTGCATGACTCAAGTTCTCTGGGGTCTCAGGTGGAAAGGGTGGGCTGGTTGGGGCACAGGGCAGGTCTTGCTCAGCCCTTACATGCAACATTCCCCACCTCTGCCAGGCTTCCGGCCCTTCTGGAGTCTTGTGGGGGTCCTGGGCTCACTGTGCTGCCTGGAGAGCTGGCATGGCCTGGCGTGGCTGAGAGCCAGCCGGATGTGTCAGTACACCCTCAACACACGCCCCTCTGCCCAGCAGGTCCTGACCGGGAATGGGGTGCACATCATGCTCCCCGACAGCCTGGCTGGGGGTCCTGGTCCCATGCCAGGTGAGGGCTTAGCAGCTCCACAGCCTATCTGCTTCCCTGCACGGAACCTTGGCTGAGTGTGCAGGGGGTTGAGTGGGGCCCCCCAGGAGGAGTCTCATGGGGGCTGAAGGTCCGTCCCTGCTTCATAGTCCCCCTTCTCCCCACACCCCCAACAAGAGAGGCGTCTGGCTGTTCCCAGGGCTGTCACGGTCTGTTCATTGGAGGTTTACCAAGCACTTACTACAAACCAGGCCCTGTCAGCTTGACCTGTGGTCTATGGAGTGGAAATGGCTACCATGTCCCCTCCTGACCCAAGGCCACACCGTTCCCAGGCCTGCATCCTGGCAGAAGCCCAGGCTGAGAGATGCGATGTGGACATGGATATGCACGGAGTACAAATGTGTTTATACCAACTCTATAGTTTACAGTGTACCGTCCCCATTGTCAACTCTGTGACTCAGGTTTGTCCTGCTGACCAGCATCCCAACTATCATTAGAAAGCTGTCCCCTAATTCTAGAAAGATCCAGAAGGGGGTGCACGGGGCTGCAGAAACCAGCCCACCTCAAGGGGCAGGGTAGGGGCCATCTGTAGAATGGCAGGGCCCACTGGTGGGGACTGGCCCTCTCACGGCACTGTAATGCCTGCTGGGGATGTGAAGGCTCCCAGGCCACCTGGTGGCAGACTGTGTGTCAGCCTTCATGGCTTGAGACACCTAGTGAGAATGGGTTGTGACCACCACTGTCCTGAAGGCAGTGCCCCTGAGGCACGTGCCACCCATATGTCTGGAGGTCCTGGGCTCTGCCAGGGCTGAGGCTCCACAAAAGGAGGAGTAAAGTCTCCTGAGCCTGTGGTCACTGTGGCGGGCACCAGACCACAGGGCCACCGTGTGCAAAGCAGCGAGGCCCCCAGGCCCCTGACCGCTGGCCGGCCTAGGCGGGGCTGCAGAGGGCGTCTGCGGGCTTCCTCTCCTCCGCCGCCGCCTCTTCCTCCTCCGGCTCCCCGGTCCTCACGTCTTCCCCAAAATAGAAGACCTGTAGATTTAAACACGCCCGGCCCTTGGTTATATTTCCCTTCAGTGTGTTACCTACTCAACGGGTGGCCTCCCACTGCGAAGGGCATCGCGCAGTGTCCTTGGTCAGGCCCCCGCTGGGTGGCCTCCGTCCTGCGGGGCTGTGCTAACGGGCTGAACAAGCAGGAGGCGGTGCGTGTCTCGCTCCTGCATGAGAATGTGGACCGGGGCTTCCAAGGCTGGGGACATGCATCTTCATTGCCCACAGGGGCAGCCACCAGCGTGGGGGGTTGTGGTCCCAGCCTCTGCTTCTATCCAGCCTTTGAGTTCTACCCCCACCCCAAGATTCTGGCCTGCCCTGCCCTCTCTTCATGGGCTGGGGGGCTCCCAGGAGGCTAATGAGCTGGGTACTGATGAAGCCCCTCAGCCTTGTCCTGGCCCCACCCCCTCCCTCTCCTCACCTGCACCCTGTGTTGGCATAGACTCGCCTTAGAGACTTCCAGCCCTCCGCACCCCATCTCACCTCATCTTGGCACACAGACTCACCTCAGAGATTTCCATCTCTCTTTTTCTGTGTGGTTCTCTGGGCTCTCACTTTCATAAGAAGCCAAATAAAGACCTAGTCAGAAAATGAAGTGAAATTACGCAGTTATGGTTGATGATAATAACCTGTTCTATGCCAAGAGCCTGACCTACTTTTCTAAAATTAAACTTGCGGTTGGGAGATCATTGTAGATTCACATGCAGTTGTAAGATATAACACAGAGAGACCTGTGTAGCCTTTACCAAGTTTCTCCAAATGGCAATCACTTGCAAAACTACAGGACAGGACAGGACAGGACAATCAAGATGCTGAACATGCACCACCACAAGGACCCCTCAGGCTCCTTCTATAGCTGCACCCACTTTCCTCCCATTTCCATCTCTTCCTGAACCACAGGCAACCATTAATCTGTTCTCCGTGTCTAAGTTTTGTCATTTCAAGGATGTGATATAAACGGAGTCAGCATGTAACCTTTGGGACTGGCTCTCTTTCACTCAGCAGGAGTCTCGGGGTTTGTCATGATGTAGTGTATCGATGCTTTCCTCCTTGCTGCCGAGTAGTACCCGGTGTGGATGTCCTAACCCCTGTTTACCATTCACCCGCCGAAGGGCATCTGGGTTGTTTCCGGGGTTGGGCTGTAACGAAACCTGTGAGCACTGGTGTGTGGGTTTTGTGTGAACGTGAGAATTCATTTCTCCGGAATAAATGCCCGAGAGTGAACTTCTGAGTCATATTTAGTTGTGTATTTAGTTTTACAAGAAACTCTTTGTTTAGTTCTACATTTGAAAGATTTCCTCTGCTTTGTTCATGGTTTTACATTCGAGTCTGTGATTCTTTTGAGTTAATTTTTTTTTTTTTAAATATCTTTTATTGATTTCAGAGAGACGAAAGGAGAGGGAGAGAGATAGAAACATCAATGATGAGAGAGACACTGATCGGCTGCCTCCTGCACACCCCCGACTGGGGATCAAGCCCACAACCCGGGCATGTGCCCTGACCGGGAATCGAACCCCGATCGCCTGGATCCTAGGTGGACGCTCAACTGCTGAGCCACGCCCGGCCGGGCTTGAGTTAATTTTTGTATAAAGCGTGAGACTTAGGTCAAGGTTCATTTTTGGGCCTATGGATGTCCAAATGCCCCAGCACCATTTGTCGAAAAGGCTGTCTTTCCTGCGCTGAATCATGTTTGCACCTCTGTAAAAATCATGACACATTTGTGTGGGTCTATTTCTGGGTTCCCTTTTCTGTCCCATTGACCTATGTGTCTACCACACTGTCTCTGTTACTGAGCCATATAATATTGGCCTTAATGTTGGGTAGAGTGATTCCTTCCATTTTATTGCCCCCCCCATTATTTCACCTATTCTAGTTCCTTTGTTAGTCCATATAAATTTTAGAATAAATTTGTCTATAACTAGAAAACGTCTTGCAGGGATTTTGGTAGGAATGCATTAAACCTGTACTTAAATTTGAGGAGGAGAATTAGTATCTTTGCTATGATGAGTCTTTCAGTTCATGAACCCCATGTTTCTCCATTTTTAGATCACCTCTGATTTCTCTCATCAGCACTGTGTAGTTTGTAGAATACAAATCTTGTACATGTTTGGTAGATTTACACCTATTTCAGTTTTTGGAGCAGTTATACATGGTATTGTATTTTTAACGTTGGTGTCTTCATACTCATTGTCAGCACATAGGAAAGAGTAGATTTTTGCAGTTTTATCTTGTATTCTGCAACTTTTGCTGAACTCACTTAATTCTAGGAGTTTTTGTATATGCCTTGGAATTCTTTATATCTGCAAATAGGGACAGTGTTAGTTCTTCCTTTCTGAGCTGTATTTCTTTCTAAAATTATTTTTTATTGAATTTATTGAGGGTGACATTGGTTAATAAAATTATATGTTTCACGTGTAAAATTCTATAATATGTCGTCTGTATATCGTATTGTGTGCTCACCACGCCAAGTCAAGTCTCCTTCCGTCACCATTTATCCCCCCATACCCTCTTCTACCTCCCCCTCCCCCTTCCCTTTGCTAATCACCATACTGTTGTCTGTATTTCCATTTCTTGCCTTATCGCACAGACTAGGTTTTCCATTACTATGCTGAATAATAGTGGTGAGGATAGATATCCTTGCCTGTTACAGATCTTAGTGAAAAGCATTCAGTCCTTCACAGTTATATATAATGTTAGCCGAAGGGGTTTTGTAGATGCAATTTATCAAGTTGATCAATTCCCTTCTACTCTTATTTTTCTGAGAGTTTTACCCAGGCATGGATATTAAAATTTGTGAAATGCTTTTTCTGCATTGATTGATTGATATAATAAAGTGATTTTCTCTTTTAGCTTGTTAATATAGTAGATTGCATTGATTGATTTTCTTTTTTCTTTTCAAATACTAAACAGCCTTTCATCTCTGGAATAAACCTACTTGGTCATGATTATAATTATTTTTATATATTGCCAAATTCTATTTGTGAATATTTTGCTAAGAAACTTTTTCATTTGTATTCATGAGGGATATTGGTTTTTATTATTATTTTTTATACTGTCTTTATCTTGTTTTGGTATCAGGGCAATACTGGCTTCATAAAATGAATTGGGAAGTTCCCTCTTCTACTGTTTTAAAGAGATTGTGCAGAATTGGTATTCATTCTTCTTTAAATGTTTAATAGAATTCTCTAGTGTAACCATGTGGGCTTAGTGTTTTCATTTTTGGGTGTTTTGAAATTACAAATTTGATTTCCTCAGTTATTTTTTTATTTCCCTAGAAACCTCTTATTTAATGCATGGATTATTTAGCAGTGTGTTGTTTAGATTCTAAGTATTTGGAAATTTTCCTGTTATCTTACATTATTGATTTCTAGTTTGATTCCATCGTGATCAGAGAACAAACTCTGTATGATTTCAATTATTTTAATTTCTTGCAGTTTGTTTTATGTACACAGGATATGGTCTATTTTGGTATATATCGTGTGGGCAATTGAAGAAAAGTGTGTACTCTGTAAATGTGTAGTTGTATGGAGTATTCTATAAATGTTGATTATGTTATTTGATGGCATTGGTGAGTTCTCCTATCTTTGCTGATTTTCTGTCTAGTTGTTCTATCAATTGTTGAGAGAGGGGCATTGAAGTCTCCAACTATAATTGTGGATCTGTTTATATATTCTTCAGTTCTATCAGTTTTTGCTTCATAAATTTTGCAGCTCTGTTGGATACACATTTAGGATTGTTGTCTTATTGGAAGATTGACCCTCTTATTATTATATAAAGTTCCTCTCTGTCTCTGGAAATCTTCTTTCCTCTGAAGTGTACTTTATTTGATATTAATATTGTTATTCCTGCTTTCATTTGATTAATGTTTCCCCATTTTAACTTTTCTTTTTTCTTGATCTTCACTCGAGGATATACTTTTTAATTGATTTTTACAGAGAGAGAGAGAAAAACATCAATGTGAGAGCAAAACATCAATTGATTACCCTCTATACACACCTTGATGGGGATTGAACCTGCAACCTAGGTATTTGCCCTGACCAGGAATCAAACTTGCAACATTTTGGTACAGGATGATGCTACAACCAACTGAGCCACCTGGCCAGGGCCCCATTTTTAACTTAATTTTTTAAAAATATGTTTTTATTGATTTCAGAGAGAAGGGAGAGGGAGAGAGAGATAGAAACATTAATGATGAAAGAGAGTCATTGATCAGCTGCCTCCTGCATGCCCCCTACTGGGGATCCAGCCCGAAACCTGGGCATGTGTCCTGACTGGAAATTGAACTGTGACCTCTTGATTTATAGGTCGATGCTCAACCACTGAGCCACACTGGCTGGGCCCAATTTTAAGTTTTTAACCTGTCTGTATTATTATATTTGAACTGAGCTGCTTGTAGGCGGCATATAGTTGGATTATGCTTTAAAATTGTTTATTTTAGTTTTTATTTTAGAGAAGGAAGAAGGGGGGGGAGAGAGAGAGAGAGAGAGGGAGATATATCAATGTGAAAGAGAAACACTGATTGGTTGCCTCCCGTATGTGCCCTCACCTGGATCAGACCTGCAGTCTAGGTATGTTCCCTGATTGGGAATCCAACCCACAGCCTTCTGGTGCATGGGATGACACTCCAACCAACTTATTTATACCAGTCAGGGTGGGTCATGCTTTTTAATTTACTCTGCCAATTTCTGTCTTTTACTTGTTATATTTAGACAATTTACATTTAGTATAATTATTGATGTATTATAGCTTGAGTCTGCTATTTTATTTATTTTGTTCTCTCTCTGTTTTGTTTCTGTTTTATTTTTTGTCTTCCTGTGGGTTATGGGTTATCTGAACAGTTTTTAAAGATTCCATTTTGATTTATCTATAGTAAATTCCTGAAGGATATTTTCACTGGATATAGAATTCTGGGTTGACAGTTATTTTCTTTCAGCACTTGAAAAACGTGCCATTGCCTCTGACCACCATGGTTTCTGATGAGGAATCTGATGTGATTTGGATTGTTTTCCCCTTATAGGTAAAGTTCCATGTGTCTCTCAGTGCTTTTAAGATTTCTTTCTTTTTCTTAAGCTTCCAGAAGTTTGGGTTTACCCTCTTTGGTATTTACTCAGCTTCTTGAATCTGTAGGTTTATGTCTTTTCCAAATCTGGGATGTTTCTAGCCATTACTTCTTCAAGTACTTTTCCACTGTGCCCTCTTGTCCCCTCATTCCCAGACTTTGATAATTTGTGTTAGATCTTTTGTTATAGTCCCATAGGTCCCTGAGGCTCTGTGGTTCAGAGTGTATAATTTCTATTGTTTTATCTTCTAGCTCACTGATTCTTTCCTCTGTACTCTCCATTCTGCTGTTGAGCCCATCCACTCAGGTTTTTATTTCAGTTATTGTATTTTTCAGTTCTAAAATTTTCATTTGGCTCTTCCTTATATCTTCTGTTTCTTCTTTCTATATTTTCAGTTTTTTAGGGAGCCTCAAGGCAGACTGGATTACTAGGCAGGCCCTGCCAGGGAGGCCTGGAGCTGAAGGCAGGGCAGGACTTTTCTCAGAGGCTTTGACTGACCTAGTTGGAGCTCAGTACACCTTACGTCCCTTTGTTTGCTCTTCTCCACTCTTTGGTTTAGGGGAGGGACAGAATAAAGAGAGGGTCAAGTGGAAAGTGCTCCTCTCTAAGGGTGCTTTAGAAGGGCCAGGGTTTTATCTGTATGTTCATGGCTAAATCACTAACTGGCACATAGCAGGCTCTCTAAAAATACTGTTGACTGAAGGGGTGAATGAAATGCCCCTCCCTCACTCTCCTCCCTGACCCTAGACTCCCTCTGTCCCTCTCCTAATGTGCCTTTGGCACATTTTATTGCCTAATTTCTATTGGCCAATGACAACAATCACCATAATAACCAGTGTTGTAGGTTGAATAGTGGCTCCAAGAGATATCTAGATCCTAATCCCAGGACTTGTGAATATGTTATCTTCTATCATAAAAAGGGATCTTGCTGATGTGATTAAGTTAAGAATCTAGAGATGGAAAAATAATCCTGGATTATCCAGGTGGGCCCTAAATGCCATCACAAGTGTCCTTATAAGAAGGAGGCAGAAGGAGAGTTGACCATAGGAAAGAGATGATGTGATGGTAGAAGCAGAGGTTGGAGTGATGTGCTTTGAAGGTTGCCATGAGCCCAAGAATACAGGCTGCACTAGAAATTGTAGAAGGGCATGAAACGATTCTCTACTCAGAGCCTCCAGAAATAACCATCTCTGTCAACACTTTGATTTTAGCCCAGTGGAACTGATTTTGGACTTCTGACCTCCATAACTGTAAGAGGATCAATTTATATTGTTTTGAGTCACCATTTGTGGCGATTTGTTTCAGCACCAGTGGGAAACTAATACAACTAGTGTCGATTGAGTGTAGTCCTATAGGTTTTGCTGTGCGAACTCAAGTAAATCTCACTGTGGCCTTGGGAAGTAGGTTCTTTCATTACCCTACTTTCTAGATGCAACAGAGGAGGCTCAGTGAAGGTGAGAAACCTGACCAGGGTCACACAGCTTGCTGGGGTGGGAGCAGTCCAGGCTGGTTTACCCATCAGGCTCTTGAGCTTCTTGTTGCATGAAGGGACTCTCAAAAATTATTAGTTCAAAAATATAAAAAATAAAGTGACAAAGTTGAAAGTACTAACAATTAAAAAGTAAAGTAATTAAAAAATTCTTTCTTTCTGATTTTTTGTTTTTGACAGAACATGTTCTCCTGCTCATGGTGTGGTTCTTTTATAAAATGCTTGCTGTGACGAGAAGCCAGTCCTCCTTTGTGCTGAGTGGGAGACTCCCAGGATGAGTCAAGGGTCCTGGATCCAGGGAGCATCTAACCATGGGGCAGCACTGCCTCACAGGGAAGATCAACTCAGGCCAAGATGACCACTTACTGAAGCACTTTCTTTTCCTCGAGAAGGGGGTTCCTGGAGTTCCCTCATTTAGCAAATTCACAAGCAAATCTGTTGTATCTGACAAATGATCAGGTAGGAATGTTGATTTTGTGGAGGGGACAGACATTTACAGTACTCTGGAGAAAAGAGATCTCATCTGATGCTGGAGTGTAGTGCACACACATGCACAAACACACAGGTACACACACCAGCTGTGGAAAGATTCTAACATGAGCCCTGGGAGGAGGTTCTTATCATCACCCCTACTTTTCTGAAGAGGAAGTGGGGTCAGACAGATTTGCAATGCCCAACAACTTCCAAACTCTCTCCAGGGGAAGCTTGGGCCTGGGGATCCAACCTGCAGTTCCTCAGGCTCTGGGGGTGGCAACCAGGCAGGGGGAGGCAGCCCTCTGTGCTCCCTCCCATAGCCAGCAAACCTGGGCATTCAAAGCAGGGGCTCTGAATGGCAGTGCGAGTAAGAGGCCACACAAGAGCGCCACGGCCCAGGAGTCGGTGAGGCCAGGAGCTGCCTTACCGTCCTCACTGAAGATGGGCGCAGTGTACAGGTAGTGGGTGATGCTGGGGTCTTGCTCGAAGGGACACTCCACTTGCTTCCATGTGAGGAACTCTCCAACCTGCTTGGCCAGCTCCAGAAATTTCTGCCAAGGTCACAGAGACACAAGATGGTGGCATTCCACTCCCAGGCCTGGACGTCACCTGTAGGAGCAGGGCCGGCCCTGGGAAGCTTCTCTCATTACCTCTGAGCGAGCAATAAATGACATCATCACCCGTCAGGAAAGCTGGGTGCTCATCACATCTCTTCATTCCCTCTGAGGGATCAGCTGGACCTGACACCTGCACTCACCAGCCCCATGTCATGGGGACAGGGTGGCCTGGGCTATGGCCCTCAGTAGGCAGTGCCTCGAGCTAGAGGTAAACATTACTTTAGTTTCATTCTATTTATTTATGTGGCTGTCCCTACTTATGGCAAGTTTGTTTATTTAGAGAATATGCAAATAAATTTAAATAAAAATATTTACGTAAAACTTACGTAAATTCATTGAAGTAGAATTTTTAAAGTAAAATTTAAATACATTTATTTAAATTGAAAGAAATGTGCTAGCTTAAAGAAGGGTTTTAAATAAATAGCAGCACCAAGTCATGACTGGGTGGGAGCCCCATGCCTGGCCTCCTTTGGTCAGTCCTGGGCCGACTCCGCCCCCACCTTTCACACCCCGAATCTGAATCTCTGGGCCATGCAAGCACCTTGCAGCCCTGCCTCTTGCCCCTCAGCCTCAGTTCTGAAGACTAATTCAAGAAGGTGGAAGACAGGGCTCCCGTATCTGGTGTGTGTCCTGGAAGCCTGAAGAGGGAGCTCTGAGGCCCCGGACCTGCAGCCTCTCTCAAGCTCAGCCTCTTCCATGACACCTCCGGCCTGGACTGCCCCTGCCTGCTGGACTGGACATCCCCCAGTTGCACTGGCCCTCAGGGGTAACCAGGACTACTTGGGGTGTCTGCGTGAGGCTGACGGCCCAGGTGCCTGCTGTGGCCATGTCATCAGAGGACACCTGCAGAGCCTTTTCGGGCCTCACAGCACATTTTCCTGGGCCCGCTGTGCTACCTGGTTGAAGCCTGGTTTTACAGACGGAGAGACTGAGGCTCAGACAGAGCAAGGGGCCAGCCCAGGGCTGACTGCCCTTGGAGTTGGAGGCTGAGTGGGGCCAGCACTAAGGTGGGCAGGCCCTCAGGCAGGAGAAGAGCCCCCTCCTTCCTATGGATTGGGGGTTATCCCTGCTGCTTGGTTTGTTCTGTCTGATTTGGTGACTGCCAGCTGTCACAGTCCCACACCCACAGCTACTTAGAGCCATGTGGACCCGTGCGGGGGTAGGAGAGACAGAGTGGAGCAGCCTTGCCTGGCTCTGAGGAGCTCAGGGACTGGAGTACTGTGACCAAGGGATGCCCAGCCTGTTTTGCACGGGTCTCTCTCTGCCTAGGAGATCAAGGGGGTTTCCTGGAGGAGAGGACACGAGCTGACAGGGGTGAATGCTGAGGGAGAGGTCTTTTTCCCTTGTGCCTTTCCGCCCTTCATCTGACTACTTCATGTTGCTCAGGGTCCCTCCTTTGGGAGGCCTCCTGGGATTCCCGGGCACTGTGCCCCTGTGCCGCCTGGCACAGCACCTCGCCAGCTGTCAGCTTGGTGCTGTTCAAGGGCTGAAAAGAATTTTACTTCACCTGTGCTGGGCATGAGGCCTGCGCAGAGTGGGATCAATGCCTGTGTGAGCCTCAGTCTCCTGCAGAGGATGTGGGGTGCGGAGTCCCCGATACACTGGCCCTGACATTGGTGGTGAGTGGTTGCCCTCAGTCTCAGAGCCCCTGTTCAGGCCAGCACTCCTGCTCCTGGAGCTGCTATGCCCTGCCTAACCCCCGGGCCCTGGGCCCTACCTCAAAGTTGATGTGTCCATTGGGGAGGCGGTTGGCACAGCCCTCATTCAGGAAGTAGATGTCTTTGATGAGCAGGCTGAAGAAGGGAATGACGATCTGGAAGGGACAAGGTATAGGTCAGCCCTTGCCAGCAGCCACCAGCCTGGGGACCTCAGATGCATCCTTAGGATACAGAGGGCGGAAGAGACTTCCTGGGCAGGGCTGGCTGGCCTGAGCCTGGCCTTGGGGGCTGCATGGGGTCTAGGCTACTTAGTGTGCACCATGGGGCAATGTGGAGACCTCAAAGAAAGGAGCCACAGGGCCCTTTCCCTGGGGCCAGGCTGTTTCCTCCCAGGCCCCATCACGCCCTGGTGCTGATTGAGCTCCACTGTATACGCTGCATTTCCACCTGTGGTTGGCGGGTGAAAGACACACAGTCCCAGTGCCCCTTGGTCATTTCTCCCATCTCCTGCTGGGAGGAACAGTGCACACTGAGCACATGTGAAATCCATATGGAACGGGAGTCACCTACTGTGAAACTCTGTGGCCTCCTTTTTAATATATAACAATTTGCCATTTTATGTCCTTCTTGATGCTGAAGACCTGAACTTGCTGTATGTACTAGGATGAGGCCGAGCGCTTGCCCACGCCAGTTCCTGAAGGTCGGGCCGAGGAGCTCAGCCTGCAGAGCCCAGGCTTCACTGTCCATGCCCCGCTTCTCCCTCCCCGCTCTGCCGAGCCCCGGAGAACCGAGACTCCTGCCCAGCTCAGACCACCCTGGAGAACCAGCTGGCCCTACCCTGCTGTTGTGGGTTAAACTGTGTCCCCCACGAAAGATATGTCGGCATCCTAAACCCTGGTGCCTGTTAATGGGAGCTTGTTTGGAGGCAGTTTTTAAAGATGGAATCAAGTTGAGATGAGGTCCCACTGGATATGCTGGGTCTAATCCAGTGACCAACGTCCTTGTAAAGAGAAGGGAATTTGGACATTCCCAGGAAAGATGGCCAAGTGAGATGGAGACGGAGGTGGGAGCAGTATGACCACTGGCCAAGGAACCCCTGAGGCCACCAGAAGCTGGAAGGGGCAAGGAGGGATCCTCCCTGGAGCCTCTGGAGGGAGTGTGGCCCTGTCACCTGGATTATGGCTCTCAGCGCTGGAGAGGACCCATTTCTGTTTTGAGCCACCCAGCTTGTGTGCTCAGCCCCAGGATGCCAGCACACCAACTCTGCCCTTGGGCTTCAAAGCTGGGCACATGCTGCCAGTCCAGCCCGTCACTCTTGGGACCAGATCCCAGGCCCTGACATTTCTGGTTCAGGGAGTGCTGGGCCCATCCCCCACCTCCACCCCATTCAAGTCAACAAGGGCTTTGAGGTGAGGACCTGGGTGCTGACCACTCTGCACAGAATAGAAGCATGGATGGCTCAGTTGGGCAGGGCAGATGGGGAAACTGAGGCCCATGGAGTGGCAGCTCCTGGCCCAAGTTCACCAGCTAGTGACTACCAGGGCTAGGACCAGAGACAGATTTAACAGGGAGACAAACTGTTTGGTTTGCCTGGGACCAAGGAGTTTCCTTGGATGCAGAACTTGCAGTGCTGGGACTGGTGCAGCCCCGGGGAAACTGCCCGCTCTAGATTTATGTCGATTCCACAGCATTTGCTGGGCAGGTGGCAGGGCTTGGGGAAAGCGAGGGTGTGTCCGACACATTCATCTCTGATCTCAGCATAGCCAGAGACAGTCACAGGAACAACTACAGAGGGAAGAAGGCTTTGCTACCCCTAGGCTGGGTTTAGTCTCCAAAGAGCCCACCACTTACACCCTTGTCATGGGAGCAGCAGTGTGGGCCTGAGCTCTTCACTGTGCCGAGCCACCATCCGTCCGTCCATCCATCCATCCATCCATCCATCCATCCATCCATCCATCCATCCATCCATCCTCCAGCCTCCCACAGCTTCTGTGGGCCTAGCCCATGGTCCACATCTCTCTGGGAGTTAGAGGAGAATGCAGTGAAACCACACACGCAGCTCTGTAAGTCAGCCACCTCCAACACCAGACCTAAGCGCTCAGTGTCCCAGCACCCTGGAGCTGGAAGGGGGCTCAGCGGGCAGGAACAGGGAGTCCCAGTGTGTTCACTCTGTCCCATGGCCACCTGTTTCAGCACAGATGAAAGAGAAACATTGCAGAGCACCAGTGTCGGGACTGACACCTCAGACCAAAGGCTGCAGTCAATGCCATACAGTGCCACCCACAGTCCAAGTGCTGGGCCATAGCCAGTACCCCTGTGACTGCCCTGGGAGTCAGAGGCAGCCTGGTGGTATGCAAAGACCACAAGATTCCTAGCCAGACAGGCTAAAGTCTGATTCCTGGCTCTGTGGCCTACTCACTGTGTGAGGTTTCCTCTCTGAGACCCAGTCTTCTAATCTGGGAAATGGCAATGCTGAAATCCACCCCATAGAATAGTTATCAGAGTTAAATGGGGGATGGAGGTCAAGTGGCCCTCATGTGGTAGGTACTCAATGAAGGGAGGTCCCTGTTCTTGGTGCCCGGTTTTCTAGCTTCTTGACTCATGGGGGACACTCTCTCCTGTCCTGGGGTTTGAGGTCTCACCTCACTGAACACTGCCCCCACCTCCTCAGCTCGCCTGGGACCAGCTGATGAAGTATCCACAGCTTGTACAGGAAGGGCCAGCTGGTTAGGAGCATGCACATCTTAGCCTGCTCCCCAAATCTGACTGCTGGTATCCATCCAATACAATTCCAGAGTGACGGCAAATTTCAAGAACAGCAGCTTGTTCTGTTGTCCCTCAGGCTGGAAAGAGACCCCCACAAACCACGCAGGGAACTGGTGCCACCTGTTCCCACAAAAAACCAGGCTGAGGGCCCAGTGGGTCTCAGTGTTTCCTGTGCACAGAAAACAATGCTAATCACTGGCTGGTGGCAGGCTTTAGCCATAGGATCATTGTGATCCCATGGCCTGTGCAAGGCTTCTTGTATCAGGGGCTACTAAGAGAATTTGGGGGAACAAAATTGATCAGGGTCAGCAAAGGCACCCCAAATGCAAATGTATGAGAACAGGATCCGTGAAAAGGCAATTTTAGTGAGCAAGAAGCTTGGGTCAGTCATCGCCAGAAACGTCAATGTGATTTGAGACCATATCTATGAAGGTATTGAGTTTAGAATACGGAGGTGTAAGACACTGTGCACTTGGCACCACAATTTGATCTGAAACAGAAAGGAGGCCAACAAATGGAGCTGTTCAGAGATCAAGAGGACTCAAGTGGGGAGTAGACTGGAGACCAGCATATGGCAGGGCAGGCCTGGGCTGTTAACTCAAAGGGAGAGAAGGAGGGGAGCCTGGGGGCTCTGAAGGACTATCGGGTACAAGAGGGAGCAATCTCACTCTGGCCCTACAGAGAGGACAACCCCACAGGCCTGACTGCAGCCCCATAAAGAAGCTCTTTCTACCAGTCAGAGTTGCTTGGGGGTAGGCTGATCTGTTTGGGAAGGTAGTGAGTTCCCCATACTGGAGGCATGCAAGCAAGGAGACATGCCTGTCTATTACAGATGCTGTAGAAGTGCAGGGGGTTGGACCAGGTGACCTTGGAGTTAGCATCCAGGTTCTCTGCTACAGCCCACCTGGGCCAAGGTGGCCTAGAGCAGGGAGGAGCCCTGAGGACCAGGCAAGCCTCTGACCTACCTTCTCCCGGCTGCTGTGGGCGGTCAGGGAGCGGTGGGCGGCGCCTCGCAGGGCTGTCCTGTAGTTGCAGAAATTCCCTGTTGGATCCATCTGGTGCTGGAAGGAGACAGGGATGCACCTGGGCAGCTGTATCTGGGGAAGGCAGTGTCACCTGGCTGCCCCCAAACCTTGCTTACCTCCAGGATAAAAAACTTGGCTGTCTTCACTTTGGCCCAGGTTTTCTTTAGCCTGGACACAGGGCTCATGTTCATGCCAGCTGGAAGAGGGAGGCCACACTAGGGAGGCTTGCCCCGGGCTGCACAGTCCCACTCACCACCCTCAGGCAGGAGGCCTCCGTGTGGCCCCAGCTGGCCCAGCTTCTGAGGCTGCACCCTGAGCAGGGCTGAGGTCTGCAGCAGCCTCGGCTGTCAGGCAGCAGGTAGACACTGTAGTGGGGTAGCCCCTGTCCCAGTTCCCGGCACACTGGCCTCACACGGTGACCAAGGCCTGCTTTGGGTCCCTGCTCTCCCTGGATCTGGAGACATACTACCAACCCCCCACCAAGCACACTGAGGGGACTGGGCTTGCCTCAAAATTGGCACCCTTCCTGGACCTCTGGGGTGGGGAGTGTGGGCCCAGCTGGCACTCACTCTCTGCTCAGGGGAGCACCCTGGCTTGACCCCCGCATGCCTGGGTGCCCACGCCCACCTCCCAGGGGCTAGGTTGGGGGCTGCTACTCACAGATGATGGCCATGAGGGAGTTGAAGTTGCCAATGTTGAAGCACTCGCGGGCCACATCGATGAAGAACTCGATCACCTGGGCCCTCCGCTTCTTCTTGGACGGCTGGGGACAGGGCACCTGAACCTCAGCAATGACGGGTCCCATCCTCCCTTGGCCACACCCTGCTCACCCGGCCAGTCCCTCCAAATGGCTGAGATGTGAGATTGGGGCAGTCAGCAGCCTGAGAGATCAGGGTCTCCGAGCACTTCCTGAGCAGGTCTGGTGCAGAGCCCCTGCCAGGGAGGCTCAGGTGGGGACACAGGAGCCACCTCCAGCAAGGGAAGGCCCTTCTTCCCCCAGGCCTGGCTCCAGCACCCCCTCCAGAAGCAGAAAGCATGCTCCTTCGCCTTCCCTCCCAACACCAAGCTGACTCCCCAGACAGGACCCCGTGCTGACCCTGACTCCTGGGCAGGCTCAGTCCAGGCTCCACTCAGGCCCAGTGTCAGCTGCCGGGGAAACTTCAGACCCTACGCTGTGCTCTTTCCAAATAGATAAAACTCGCTGCCTCCTGGATGGGCAGCAGGGGTCTTATTGCCACCAAGAGTGCGTATGGTGTCTGCAGAGATGTGCCACCCAAGCCCCTGCAGAGAGCCTTTGGCTCTGCCCTGTCCTTCGCAGGGCAGCACGGTGATTGTGATGGTAGCCGAGCGAGGTGGGCCTGGGGACAGGCAACTCCAGCAAGCAGAGGCGTCGCAGGTTAACTTGTCCTTCTGACCAGGCCTGTTCCTCTTTCTCTGTCACAGGTGTTCACCCCCATAAGCGCCTCGCCTCCCAGGCTGCTGCAGCATCTGACTCTGGAGCCCACCCTGGCACAGGTGCTGTTTCCAATCTTGCCCCGGGACAAGGGGCCCTGGGCTTCCCCTGAGGGTGGGGGTGGGACCAGAGGAGGGTCCCTCTGCCATAAGGAAGGGAAGAGGGCGGCAGGCCTGGCTGGTGGGACCGTTTCTCCGTTCAGACTGGCTGGCTCTTCCTACCTCCCAGGGGAAGCCAGAGACCTGGACTTTGAATGTGCAACGTCCTAATTCTTAAAGGCTGGGTCGATTCCACCTCTAAATCCTGAGCGAGCCAAACAACATGCGCCGCAGGCCCCGGCCAGGCAGGCCCAGATGGAGGAAGCAGAGCCCTCCCCCTCCTTCAGCGGGCAGGCCCTGACACCCTCTGTTAGAGGCTGGTGGCTCTACCCAGAGGGGAAATGTCACTGCAGGCGAGCCGGGTGACACCTGGTTTCCCGGAGGGGTGCCCAGCCTGGCCCTGGGCTTGGGACAGACGGGCTGGTTCCCTCCCAGGTGGGCTCCTCCCAATCCGGCCGCCTTGGGCCACATGCCCGCTCGGGTCCCCTGGTTTTCTACGCACCATGCAGATCTCAGTCGCTACGAGGTAGCACAATCTGTTGAACCATTTCACGTAGGCCTCCAGGTTCTTGGCCTTATCACTGAAACAGGGCTAGGAAAGATGAAAGGATTACACTCAGGCTTTCTGTCAATGATTTTTGGAACAGGAAGTCAGTTCATGATAATTTGGAAAATATCGAAACCCCAAAACCATCCACCAATACCAATGATTTGATGTTTATCTTCTAGTCTTTTTTCTATACACTTAGAGATGTAATTTAATATGATATGTATCAATATAATTGTCAGTCCCCATTATTCACAGATTCTGTATTTGTGAATCTATCTACTCCCTAAAAATTTATTTGTAACCCCTAAATAATGCATCACTTTCCCTGTCACTCACGGACATGTGCAGAGTGGCTGAAGTTAAGCTAGAGGACGCCTTGCTGTTTTGCTTCAGCTCCCATACTGAAAACAAGTGGCCTTTCTGCCATCTCTTTAGTGTCATGGTGATTTTACTGCTTGATGTGCCCCCTCCCCAGTGCTGCAGGGCCATCTTGTGTCCCCAGGCACAGGAAGACTGAGGTGTGAGAAGGGAAAATATGCGTGAGATGAGCTTTGTTCAGACATGAGTCGAAGTGCTGTTGGCAATGAGTTCAATGTTATTGAATGAACAATATTTATTAAATAAGGTGTCTTTAAACAGAAACACATAAACTAAGGCTATATGTTGATTGGGTGATGCAAATGTTGTGATGAGAGGCTTGCAAGGAACCTACCCTATATTTCCCTTAGGAGCAATGGTGTTTGCTAATTCAGTGTTCATGACAAATTTATAGGGCATAACTACCACGGATGAGAATTGACGGTATCTTTCTATTGCTATATAACTATATATATTTCCCTATTTTTCCACATGAACTTTTCATGTACCCTACAATATCCTTTGGAAATGTAATTTTTCAATTGCTGTAGAACATTCAACTGTATACATATACCACAATTTCAAAAATTAAACTTAAGTTATCTAAAATATACATGTTAAAATTGCCAGGGTGACTTTCAGTAAATAGAGGGGAAGATGGAATGGGGGAATCTACCCAAACAAAGTAAAGAAAGGAGAAGAGAGGAACAGAAAATGTAAGAAAGACCGCTGGAGGGTACAAGAGCAGGCAGTGAAAACAAATCCACGTGCATCAGTAATTATAACCACTGTAATTAAGAAGCCAGCTACATGCTAATTTCAAAAGACATACCCCAAACCTAAGGAGAAAAGTAAAAAAATAGAAAAATACATATGATAAATATCACATTGCTATATTAATATTAGACAAAATAGGCTTTCAGGTTAAAAAAAGACTCCAAGGCAAAAAAGCATTAGAAGAGATTAAAGGGTAATTTTATGATGGTAAATGGTTCAAGTTGTCAAGAATATGTCACAAGTTTAAACTCGTTTGCACCTAACAACACAGCTTCAAAATACGGAGGGGAAAAAATCAGAAAGGTAAAGTTCATGGATATAAAAAAAATTAAAAAGATAAATAGAGAAAATTGTCAATAACTTTGTCTATAAATGTGAAAACTTAGGAGGAATGGTCAAATTCCTGGAAAAATATAAATTACAAGACGGAGTAAAGAAGAGGGCATATGGATGGCTAATAAACGTATGAAAAGATGCCCAAAGAGTAGGGAGATGCTAATTAAACCACCGCGAGGCACCACCTCACCGCTGCCCCAATGGCTCCATCAGCAAATCTACAAGCAAGCGCTGGCCTGGCCAGGGTGTGGGGAAGGGGCCTCGCACTGCGGGGAGGGGCAGG